ATATGTTAATAGGTCTAATATATACTATACATTTTATTGGTTTATTTTGAAAAAGGTGGGCATAGAATTCTTTTTTTTTTTTTTTTTTTTTTTTTTTTGAGATGGAGTTTCGCTCTGGTTACCCAAGCTGGAGTGCAATGGTGCGATCTCGGCTCACTGCAACCTCCACCTCCTGGGTTCAGGGCAATTCTCCTGCCTCAGCCTCCCGAGTAGCCGGGATTACAGGCACATGCCACCATGCCCAGCTAATTTTTTGTATTTTTAGTAGAGATGGGGTTTCACCATGTTGACCAGGATGGTCTCGATCTCCTGACCTCGTGATCCACCCACCTCGGCCTCCCAAAGTGCTGGGATTATAGGCTTGAGCCACTGCACCCAGCCCCTAGAATTCTTACTGTATTTATTTTAAATAGTTTGGAAATCCTGGTATTTTGAAAAGACATTGTTCCTATAGAGTTGTGTGATGAGTGTTATAGCTGTTATATACACATAAATATAATTTTGTTTTTCTTTTAAGAGAGGATTATTTTTATCCTAAGTATTTTATCTTTAAATCTTTGTATGTATTATTACATGTGGTGGTGAAGGGATGACACTTTTTTTCTCTGATACTTACTTAGTATATTACCTTTATAGCTACATGGTAGTTCCCCTAAATTCCTGTAAAAATAAATTTTTATTTGATGTTAAATGTAGGTTTTTGAAATGTGAGAATTCAGACATGATTTTTTACCTCATATTGACATGTTTGTATGTTAAAGAGGATGTATGTTTTAAAGGAGGACATGCACTGTGTGTTTTCAAGAGAACAGAGCAGTGCATGTATTGGGGAAATGTAATAAAGATGAAGTTTTTTCACCTTTATAGAGTGCAATCATATTGCTCTGTATTGCTTATTTCCTATCAAGTGACATTTTTCCTTAATGTTATTTGGAAAAATGTCCAAATATTTGGTTATTTGAACATATTTATTAGCTCTGGAAGATAATCCCGTTATTTTTCATGTAGAAAAAAACAAAGCTGTGCTCAATGCTCACATGTATAATCCCAGCACTTTTAAAGTCATGGCAGGAGGATCACTTGACACCAGGAGTTTGAGACCAACCTGGGCAACATAGCATCTACATCTATTTTTTAAAAAGAAAAAAAATAGAGAAGGCCAATCCCAAGCTTAGAGATTTTATTTTGTTTTTTTGAGACAGAGTCTCGCTCTGTCGCTCAGGATCAAGTACAGTAGTGCAGTCTTGGCTTACTGCAACCTCCACCTCCTGTGTTCTAACCATTCTTCTGCCACAGCATCCCAAGAAGCTGGGACTACAGGTGTGTGCCACCACGGTGAGGTGTAATGTTTGTATTTTAATAGAGACAGGGTTGCACCACATTAGCCAGGCTGAACTCAAACTCTTGACCTCAAGTGATCCGCCCACCCTGGCCTTTCAAATTGCTGGGATTACAGGCATGAGCTACCATGCCCAGCCCCTAAGCTAGAGATTTAAAGCAGGAAATGAGAGAAAGACATTGAGAGAAGAAAACCAGGTGGTAAAAATACTCTAAAGGTTTTTATTTTCTAGCGTTTCTAAAGTGGCTCACACCTGGGATCCCAGCAGGAGTTCCAGACCAGCCTGGCCAACATGGTGAAAGCCCATCTCCACTAAAAACACAAAAATTAGCCAGGAATGGTGGTGGTGGTGGCCACCTGCAATCCTAGCTATTCGGGAGGCCAAGGCAGGAGAAATCACTTGACCCTGGAAATTGGAGGTAGCAGTGAGCAGAGATTGTGCCTCTGCACTCCAGCCTGGGTGTCAGAGCGAGACTCTGCTTTCCAAAGAAAAAAAAAGTTTCTGCAACATTTGAGCCATTAAAGACAGGCACTGTGCCATGCAATTTTTTTTATTTTTGGAGTTGGGGTCTTGCTCTGTCACCTATGCTGGGCTGCAGTGGTGTGGTAGCTCACTGTAGCCCCAGACTCAAGTTCAAGTGATCCTCTTACCTTGCTTCCCGAAGTTCTTGGATTACAAGCATGAGCCATCACAGCTGTCCTGTATGACACAATTCTGATGTCAACTCCCTGATGTTAACATCAAATGCCACAAGTTAAGGCCACAAACCCCCACTAGGCTGCCTTCACATTAGATGCAAGCTGCAAGTTTGGGTGTGCTCAGATCACATGTACTTCTCACCAACTGCTGGCTACAAATTCAGAGGTTCCCACAGTGTCCTCCGGTTTGATAATTTATAACAACTCAAAGAACTCAGAAAAGCAAGATACTTTTTTGTTAGATGAAGTCTCACTGTTAAGCAAAAGTACAATGGCACAATCTCAGCTTACTGCAACCTCTGACTCCCAGGTTCAAATGATTCTCTTTGCCTCAGTCTCCCTAGTAGCTGGGATTACAGGTGAGTGCCATCATACCTGGCTAATTTTTGTATTTTTGGTAGGGTTTCGCTGTGTTGGCCAGGTTGGTCTTGAACTCCCAAACACAAGTGATCTGCCTGCCTCAACTTTCCAAAGTGCTGGGATACAGGCATGAGCTTCTGTGCCCAGCTGAGCATGATATTTCCATTACAATTTTATATAAGAAAAACTGACAAAAGTAACACCAGTCAAAAGCAGAGACACGTAGTATAAACTCCGAGAGAGTCCTGAAGATGACATTTCTGTGTCCTCAGGATGCATCATCCTCTCAGCATACAAGCATACTGATGTGTATCTCAAACCAGGGAAGATCACCTTAGCTTCCACGTCCAGGGGTTTTATCACAGCAGGTGGGTTGATGCAATCATTGGCCAGGCAATTGAGTCCATCTCCAGCCCCCCAGTTCCTTTCTGGAGGTCGGGCTGACATTATGTGGCTCAACATCACAACCTTCAAATCACATGGTTGGTCTTTCTGGTGTGGTTGCCCCCTGGCCAAGTCATCTGGTTAGCATGCACTCAGTTGTGACCCTGGGGTGGCCACTATGAGTAACAGACACACCTGTCATTCAAGAAATTCCATGGATTTAGAGGCTGGCTACCTCCAGGAATCAGAGACAAGACCAGAACCAACAGGGAAAAGAAGACCAGGGAAGTGTCAGAACAGCAAAGAAATAAATTCCTTTTTTTAAAAATTTTGTGTAAATGAGTTTATTGACAAAGACACAAGGTCACACTTCCCCCAACCCCCACCCTCCCCCAAAACAGGACCCTACACAGAGGAATGAGAAGCATTCTCATGGTAACATTTTTGCCACCCCGCCCCCCTTCCGATTTCTTTCCAAAGACTCAAGCTTCACAACACAGACACACAGAGCAGGCTTGGGTGAGGACAGACACTCAGGGAATCTCTGACCAGCAAAAGAGTTCTGGGTGTTTGCTTCTCCTGCCCTTTGTGTGATGCCAGCTGATGTTACAAAAACACACTTAGGCAGAGGAGGGGGCATGCAGAGCAACCTCCACTCACTTCCCTAATTTGGCCAAGCTTGGAATGAGCCAAGAGAGAAGTTGTGGTGGAGGCAACAGTTTCTGCCTCTCAGGAGAGGACCTTCCCATAATAAATTCTACTTCCCATAATAAATTCCTTTTTATATGTGTATATATAATGTATATAAAATATATATTTAATGAATTAATGTATTAAATATGTAGATTGTTTTATAAATAGAAATGTCATATTTTCATATAACATAAACATTATACATATATAAATATATGTGTTTCTCCCTTTATTTACTTATGAGTTGAGTTGGAGTCTCACTCTGTCGCCCAGGCTGGAGTGCAGTGGCATGATCTCAGCTCACTGCAACCTCTGCCTCTTGAGTTCAAGTGATTCTCCTGCTTCAGCCTCCCCTGTTGCTGGGATTACTTTTGTTAAATTTGGCCTAAACCTGCCTCATAAACAGTGAAATGTATCCTAATTTAAGTGTGTAAACCTTTTGCTAAGGTAATGTAAAAGTAAAATTAAAGAAAATAAGGAAAAAAGAGCATAAACCTTTGTGAAAAAGCCTTTAGGCCTTGTCAGTTCCTAGAATGTATTTATTTCACTACACTGGGGACTCCATTTCCAGTGTTAAGGTCCATTTTCAGAAGACTGGGCAAGCATCAGACAGGGGGTGGGGAGGAATTATACAAACAATTGAGTCCAGGTGGTGGTCCTAGGACCCAAGGGGCCCCTCTGTATGGCAGGGGCACCCAACAGCCGTAACTGATGTGTTCCCTGAGGCCCTGAGAATGACCTTATGGTCTAAGAAGAACGTGTGTTCTCAGCCCCAAGCTAAGGAATCAGGAGTGGCAAGACCCCAGAAGGATGCCAGCTTATGAAACCCCAAGTCAAGAGGTCTAGCAGGGCACTTGGTTTCTCAGGTCACACACTTGGCCCTCTTCCAAGTTGTACTATCCTTCTTTCCTTTCCTTTCCTTCCTGTTCTAAAGGTTTTCAGTAAACTTTTTTTTGAGATGGCATCTCACTCTATCACCCAGACTGGTGCACAGTGGCACCATCTCAGTTCATGGCAATGGCCGCCTCTCAGGTTCAAGCAATTCTCCTGCCTCAGCCTTCTGAGTAGCTGGTCTGAGACCACTACCACACCTGGCTAATTTTTGTATTTTTAGTGGGAATAGGGTTTCTCCATGTTGACCAGGTTGGTCTCAAACTCCTGACCTCAAGTGATCTGCCCACTTCAATCTCCCAAACTGCTGGTATTACAGGCTTGAGCCGCGGCCCTGGCGCCTTTTTGTGTGTGTGTGTGTGTGTGTGTGTGTGTGTGTGTGTGATAAGTCTCCGGCCAGGCTGGAGTGCAATGGCATGATCTTGGCTCACTGCAACCTTCGCCTCCCAGGTTCAAGCGATTCTCCAGCCTCAGCCTCTCTACTAGCTGGGATTACAGGTGCCCGCCAGGACACCCAGCTATTTATTGATTTTTTTTAGTAGAGATCGGTTTTCGCCATGTTGGCCAGACTGGCCTCAAGTGATCCACCAACCTCTGCCTCCCAGAGTTCTGGGATTACAGGCGAGGGCCACCGATGCACCTGGCAGGCATGGAAGAGGTTCCCTTGGGTCCTGCTCAGAGGAGTTACGCTGGGGAAAGCAAGTTGAGGTGCTCCTTGAAGAAAATAGGGAATCTCACATCTCAGGGGTTCTGTCCTGGCCTGCCGCCCTGGATCGTCCAGCCTGGGTCGGGGTGGGAAGACCTTGCCCTTCTTGACTGGGTTTGAGTGTGAGTGTCCCAATTTCGCCAAGGCCTAGCCCGCGGTTCCCAGTCCCTGGCACCACCCAGCAGCTCCCGGCTCCCCCTCCCCTCCAGACCTGGCACTCGCCCTCAACCAAAATGGCGCCGACGGCCTCAGTACGTCAAGCGACGTGCCCGCCGGCCTCCTCCCGCGCTTCTTTTATCCCCGCAGCCGGAAGCCGAGCAGCAGAGCAGAAAGCCTGACTTTGGGGTCCGCGGTGGTTTAGGCAGCGCCAGGGCTGTTGTGTGGCTGCACGGTGGTGCTGCAGGGCGGGATGCTGTACCCCCGGGAGAGCCCGTCATGGAAGTGCAAGGAGCTGGACAGCCCCTGGAGCTTCCGCGCCGACTTCTCCGACGACCGGCGCCGGGGCTTCCAGGAGCGGTGGTAGCGGCCGCTGCTGCGGTACTTAGGGCAGGGCCGGGAGGCACACAGAAGCCGGGCGGAGGGAGTAGGGGAGCCCGGGCCGCCTCGCAGGCTCCTTTCCCTTGTCGCCCGGGGGTGGGGGCCCAGAGGAGGTTAAAGGTCAGTGGGCTTGGGAGCGCTGGGTTGGAGGAGTGGGGCAGGGAGGGGACCCAGGAGGACTGCTGCTGCGGAGGAGGAAGCGCCCCTGCCGAGCCCCCTCCCCGGCGAAGGCTGAGCCCGGGCAGTGTCCTTTTTTTTAATGTTTGTTTTTAATTTTTAAAATATTTTTTGAGACTGGGCTTGGCCCTGTTGCCCAGGCTGGAGCGCAGTGGCTGCAATTCTAACTTCTGAGCTCAAGCGATCCTCCTGCCGCAGCCTTGCAAGTTAGCTAGGGGGCTCCACGCCTGGCTAATTAAAAAAATTTTTCTTTTAGATATAGGGTCTCACTACTTTGCCCAGGCTGGTTTCGAACTCCTGGCCTCAAGCCATCGTTTTATGTTGACCTTCCAAAGCACTGATTACCGGCATGAGCCACCCAAACACTCCTCCCAGTAGTCGGGCCAGAGCCTCTTGGGCTGCACAGAGCTGGACCTGAGGATGGGGAGAGGAGACAGTTTAAACATCCTGAGGTCAGCTCTGCAAAGAAGCCAGGAATGTAACTTGGTCCAGATCTGTTTGGGGGCCTAGGAGCTGAGCTCCACCCTTCTCTCCACAGTTTGGCCCCACCCTGGACATGCAGGTTCTCTCCAGCTTCAAGAACATCTGCCAGGACTCGCGGCTATGGCATTTTTGTCAGCTGGGTGTGGCACAAATGGGATGTGACCTTGCCAGAGTGGTGGACCCAGGACCTGCAGAGAAGAGTGGTGCTGAGGATTGGCAGTGCCCACTCCTATGCCATTCTGGTGAGTGCAGCCAGGAGCACGTAGGGCAGGTGGGTGGGTGTGGCTGCTGAACAGCATGGGAGTCCCAGGTGCCACCCACAGCCTGTCTCCTGGGTTGGAACGGTGAGGGGCCCTTCCTTGCTCTGCCCTGGAGGCTGTTCCCTGTGTAGGGGGATAGGTGACCTAGTCTACCCCATTGGGATGCCATTCTTCCTGGCAGGCCTCAGCTCTATGCTGCAAGTTATGAGGGAGTGCCCAATAACATGGCCCCTCCTCATGCACTGACCTGCCACCCCCTCCCCATATCTCCAGTGTCTGTGATGGGTGAACGGGGTCGATGTGCTAGAGCATGGGGGTTTACCTCCCCTTCAAGGCCAACATCAGCAGCCTGGTCCAGGTGGGGCCCCTGCCCTCCCACCTCCCCATCACTATTGCCATCAACGACACACTCCCTCCATCCAGCCACCAGGGATCATCTGCTACATGACCGACACCTGCAAGTGGCTACCATCCTGCCTCCACCACATGCCCCACCTCCCCACCCCACCCCATAGTCTTCCTGCTAGGGACAGATTTGCCTTCACAGAATGGACGGGCCTGGATCTGGGGAGGCCACAGACATGTGAGCTGAGGTGAAACAACCCACAGCAGGGGTCCAGCAAACCACAGTTCTACCACCCTGAATATCCCAAGGGTTACTTTGTCCACAACAGACTTTGACTTCAGCTCGGCGGGACTGCAGTGGTCTGTGCTTCTGTTCACGACACTCACCACCTGCATTGATGACATCACCATCACCATCACCACCAGCGTGGAGCAAGACAGTGGCGAGAGCTTCCAGTAGGATCCTTTCTCAGCGGGGCCCAGGGTGGCTCTGTTTGTTCCCTGTTTGGAAAGCTCTCCCAGGAAAAAGGTTCTCCCAGCATCTCTAAACCCTCCCAGGTTCCCATCCACCTACAAAGCTCAAATCCAGACTGTCTGAGTGGGCACCGGCTCCCAAAATCACCTGTGTGGTTGACCTCATTTGGAGAAGAGGGGTCTTCTTGCCTATGGTCACACAGCTCAGGGTGGCAATCCTGTCCCTTTCCCATGGAGCTACCCTCACTCCAGCTCCCCTTGGTACACATTGTGCTCAAGGAACAGGCAGCTTACCAGGTACTCCCTGTGGCCCGAGGCCCCTCCCTGTGGCCCCAGGCTCCCACCAAATCAAATAGTGCACTGTTGCCAGTCTGTGGTTTCATGTTGAACTAATTAAATGCTCAAGTGCTGTTTAACTGTGTGCCTTGATGAGTGCCTCTCTCCATCCTTTAACAACCCCGATGCCCACATGGCTCATGAGTGAAGGTGTCCCCACCCGAGATGCCCCGTCCCAGGGTGTGCTTTCAGGAGTCAGCTCCTAGACAGGGACAGTCAGCCATTAGGGATAGGGTGGGACCAGGGCAGGGGCTCTCCTGACTCCTGATACCTGTTCGCCTGCCCCCCAGCGTTACTGCCACCTGCTATAGGTGACTGAGAAGTGGGCCTAGGGCACCTTCAGACTCAACCCCAATGATGAGGACATCCACACAGCCAGCGAGCACCACCTGAAGGTAAGATCCCTGCAGCCCCACTGCTTTCCTGGCCTCCCGTCTTCACCTGGCCCTGGGCCACTTGGAGCATTAGCACCATTGTTCCATTTACTTCACCATTGGCAGACAGCAGTGACGATCGATCTCAGGACATGGCCAGTTGCAGTGGCTCATGCCTATAATCCTAGCACTTTGGGAGGCTCTGGTGGAAGGATCACTTGAGGCCAAGAGTTTGCATGGGCAACATAACAAGGTTTCATAACTACAAAAAATTGAAAGAAAAAAATGAACAACAGGGCTAAGAATTGGTGAGAGATTTGGGCAAGACCTGGGGCCCTTGGGTAGGGAGGGAGGTTGGCAGGGCTGATGAAAGCTGCCCTGCCTGGATTGACTCCTCTGGGCATCTAGACTGTGACTCTGGGCCTCCCTTCACTTCCAAGAGCTCATTAGCAAAACTGCTGGGAAGCTGCACACGGGATGCAGCTGGAATGACCAGGTGCCTCTAGCCCCTCCAACCCCCTGCTTTTTGCTGTCCCAATGTTGGGGAGCCCAGGGGGCAGTTAGAGCTCAGCAGGGTCCTGGCTCCCCAGGGAAGCAGCTCATCAGCCTCCCTGAGCATCACCTCCTGCTTGCACAGGTGGTTCATGGAGCTTAGACTATGGATGTGGCAGACCTGCTCGATGCTCTCCGGCCTCTTGTGGGAGCCCATCAGGACCATGGTGGATCCCACAGAGGTGTGAGTCCCAAGGCACACCCAGGGGTTAGAGAGAGGTGTGATGGCATCCTGAACAGCAGACTAGGTGGCAGGGACAAACAGGGTGGAGATGCCAGGCCCTGGGGGACGGGTATTACAGAACGCCGAGATTGAGGCAGAACAGCCAGGAGTGGGGCATTTCCTGCAGTCCCCAATACTCCCAGTGCAGTCTAGCTCAGCAGGCAGGGAAGAGTCACCCTTTGTGGGGCCTGGTGTGGTGGCTCATGACTGTAATTCCAGCACTTTGGGAGGCAGAGGCTGGTGGATCACCTGAGGTCAGGAGTTCACGACCAGCCTGGCTAACATGGTGAAACCCTGTCTCTAATAAAAATACAAAAATTAGCCAGACGTGGTGGTGTGCACCTGTAATCACAGCTACTTGGGAGGCTGAGGTGAGGCAGGAGAATCCCTTGAACCCAAAAGGCGGAGATTGCAGTGAGCTGTGATTGCATCACTGCACTTCGGCCTAGGAGACAGAGTGAGACTCCACCTCAAAAACTAAAAAATAAAAGGAAGAGAACTCATCCTTTGCAGATTTGAGGGAAGGAAACTAAGGCACTAGCTTGGCTGTGCCTGGAGCAGCAAGAGTCTCTCCCCACTCTGCCTGTGTCCCACGTCTCCCGCATTATGTGTCCCCACCCAGCCCATCTGGTGAAAGGCAGAGGCAAAGGCTGCCTCCTGCTGGCCTCATCCCAGGCTTTGGCTTCTGGGACCTGGTGTCTTTGGGTCTGGATTTGTTCCTTGCAGACCTGGAGGAGGAGCTGCTGGGGAGTCTCCACGTGTTGTCAGAGACCCCTCCTCTTGGTCAGCTCCCTGTGACCCCTGTTTCTCAGACTGGGAGGGAAATAAGGGCACACAATTGTGACCATGGAGGTGGCGCAAGGCTGCTAGGAGGTCTGCTACAGAACTCAGGGTTTCTTTCATTTACTTTTTTTTTTTTGAGACAGGGTCTTGCTCTGTCACCTAGTCTGGAGTGCAGTGGTGGGATCTCTCCTACCTGCAAACTTTGCCTCCCTGGGTCAAGTGATTCTCCTACCTCAGCCTCCCAAGTAGCTGGGATTACAGGTATGTGCACCACATGCAGCTAATTTTTGTATTTTTTTCAGTAGAGATGGATTTTACCATGTTGGCCAGGCTGATCTCTTGAACTCCTGAGCTCAGGTGATCTGCCCACCTCAGCCTGCCAGAGTGCTGGGATTATAGGCATAAGCCACTGCATCCAGCCTAATTTTAAAATTTTTAACTTTTTTTTTTTTTGAGATAGAGTTTTGCTCTTGTCACCCAGGCTGAAGTGCAATGGCCCTCGGCTCAGTGCAACCTCTGCCTCCCAGATTCAAGCAATTCTCCTGCCTCAGTCTCCACAGTAGCTGGAACTACAGGTATGTGCCACACCCAGCTAATTTTTGTATTTTTTAGTAGAGACAGGGTATTACCATGTGGCCAGTATGTTCTCAATCTCCTGATCTTGTGGTCCATCCACGTTGACCTCCCAAAGTGCTGGCATTACAGGCGTGAGCAACCACACCCGGCCAAATTTTCTCTGTTTGTCTTTAGAGATGAGCTCTTGCTCTGTCACCTAGGCTGGAGTGCAGTGGCTCAGTAATAGTTCACTGCAGCCTTAAACTCCTGGACTCAAATGATCTTCCCACCTCAGCTTTCTGAGTAGGTAAGACCACAGGTGTGCACCACACCCTGCAATGTTTCTACATTTTTTTTTGTAGTAACGGGTTTTCACTATGTGGCGTGGTCTGGTTGAACTCCCAGCCTCAAGTGATCCTACCATCTTGGCCTCCCAAAGTGCTGGAATTACAGGCTTGAGCCACCGTACCTGGCCTTGAGTACAGAATTTCCTTAGGGGGTGACGAAAATGCTCTAAAATGTGCACTAAAGTGTGAGTGATATCTCAGCAAAGTTGGTTTATTTAAAACAACAACAGGCTGGACGAAGTGGTTCATGCCTGTAATCCCAGCACTTTGGGAGGCCAAGGTGGGTGGATCATCTGAGGTCAGGAGCTTGAGGCCAGCCTGGCCAACATGATGAACCCCTGTTTCTATTAAAAGTATGAAAAATTAGTAACTTGAATGAGGGGCAGGGTATCCCACCTGCTCCGAGTAGCACTTTATGAGCCCCAGTTATTTCTGGGGTCCTCAAATGAAACCTCCCAAGTCATACCCAAGTCATACCCAACATGTGCCTCCTCCCCTTTTCTAGCCCCGGCTGGGAGATGCTGAGTGATAGAGGCTCAGGCTTTGGGTGTTCCTGGCAAAGCCTCACCCCAGGAGCCCCACAGCTCAGGCCCAGTCCATGGTTCACATGGCCCCATTTCGTCCTCTTTTTCCCTTGAGAGCAATTTGTCCCTGGGAGATCCTGGATCCCTCTCATTCAGGTGCAGTGCTGTAGGGCAACACTTCTTCCTGGGGTGACCCAGGCCTGCAGTGTCCCAGTGTCACTGGCAGGCCTTGACCTGGCCTCCACCTAAGCCCCTGCTCCTCCTCTCCCACAGGGAACATGACATCCTCTTCCTAGGTTACACCCACCTGCAGAGGGCCCAGCCCCATCACTGGAGCCACTGGATTCTGAGGTGAGCTGGGTGAGTTGCTGGGGCTGTACTGGATGGGAGGACCCTGGCTGTCCTGACCCTCCTGCCCCTGGCTTTCCACAATGGTGCCATGGTGCTGACCCTAGACTCTGAGCAGCTGCTGGAGGTTCGGAAGCTGATTGGTGTCCTGCCCCTGGGGAGGTGGGTGAAACTCCAGTGCCCTAAGGGCCTGGTGGGTGTGGCTGCTGCATAGCCCAGGGATTCACACATGAGCTGGGAAGGGCAGAGAGAGTTAGAAAATCAGGTTATCTGCTCAGAGGGGGACCCTGCATGGATTCCTCCCAGGTCTTGCTAAGGTGGGGACGTCCAAGCCAGTGAATGTGTCTGAGCAGGGCTGGCCTTAGCGTAACACACTTAGCGTAATCCAAACTATGGGGAAATGACCTGATTTATTCAATAAATGGACTACAAGGGACAGCACAGAGATCAAAGTGGGAAGTTGGTCAGGATCAAGAAAATCCTAAGAGGTGAATCAAACAATCCCAAGGAGAGACTTTATTTGGATCCTGATTCACACAATAAATACATGAAATGACTGGAAATTTGGAGCTAGAAGGAGAGTTGACAGTGATAAAGAGCAATGGTGTGAGATGGTTGATGATGGTATTGGGATTATTATATTTTTTAAAGAGTTCTTGTCTCCGGGCACGGCGCTTCACACCTATAATCTCAGTAGTGTCGGAGGTCAAGATGGGAAGATCCTTTGAATCCAGGAATTCTAGACCAGCCTGGGCAACATAGCAAGACCCTGTGTCTACTAAAATACAAATTAAAAAATTAGGTTGGCATGGTGGTGTGAGTCTGTAGTTGCAGCTACTCAGGAAGCTGAGGCAGGAGAGGCCACAGTGAACCAAGATCATGCCACTGAACTCCAGCCTGGTTGAGAGAGACCTTGTCTTGAAAGAACAAGAATCATATCTTTTACAGACATATACCAAGAGAGTCAGGGAGGAAATTATATGATGTGTGGGATTTGCTATAAAATCCTGAGAGGGGGAGGAGAAGCATGTAGGAGTATACATGTAACGAGATTGGCCATCAGATAACAAGTATCTGAATCTGCTGCCGAGTAGGTGAAAGTCACCACACTAGCCTCTTGTTCCAAAAAGCTCGAATAGAAAGTTTATGTAAAAATCCACTTCATGGATTTGTAACAAGCATTGAATAAGATCGTGTATACAGAGTGTTTTATCACCATGGCTTGCAGGTAGTCAGCACACAAACATTGTTTTTAGTTTTGTATAGTCCCTGTCCATTAATCACACCCACAAAAGATATGTGTTCACACCAAGAGCTCTGGCCCATGGACCTTTGTCCACTTGGTGGTAATTTATTGGAATTTGAGGTTTAGAATGAGGAAATACCAGCCTTCAAAGCCCCAAGCCTACTATGAAATAGCAAAGCCAATGGTTCCAGATGCCTTCGTAGCACACCTAGTAAGTAGGACCATTTTTCTCTCACCTTGTAGGCACACTTGAGTTCATTCACTCATTTTTCATTCATTTCTTATATGCCATGTATTGGGTACTAGGGATCCGTAATACAGTTGGCCCCTAATTGAATGGAAGCATCACTTTCAAAGCATCATTGCAGGATGAGTATTTTGTGTCAAGTGGATTCAAGGGACAGTGCGAAGGATCCATGGCCTCAGTCATGAAGACTCTCCCAAGAGCCAACCGTCCTGGGCACATATAAATGAGTGGAGACATGGAACTCACCCTTACAAGGCCTAGAACCTGACAGAGCATACAAGACTGAAGCCCAAATAACCAAGAACAAGCTGAAGGTGAGAGGTGGGCCCCAAAGGATTCTGTGAAAATGCTGTGTGTTTGTGGATTTATCATGCCGAATGAAACCTTTGTTTTTATTCACAGGTTAGATACACTCTATATATAGAATCTATGAAGGGACATTTCTGGGTTTTTTGAGGCCTATGGTGAAAAATGGAGTATCTCAGGCCACTCAGGATGAATAATGCAGTCACCGAGAGGGGCAGGGTGGCCACAGATGGCCAGCAGCAGGGATGGGCATTGTGAGCCTTTGGGTGGGGTTGTGGGAAGTGGCATTGTGAGCCACTGGCCTGACTTTGTTGTTTCCTGGTAACCAGGTGACATAGGAGGCTTTGTGGGTAACAGGCATCAGCCAGGGCCAGCAGCCTTCAGTCAGAAGCTGGTAGTGGGAGGAGGAGGAGCTCTGACTACTCTAACGGAAGTGTTTGTGCCCTTGTGGCTTGCTCTGTTGCAGCACTTTGGGAGGTCAAAGCAGGTGGACCGCTTGAGTCCAGGCAGGAGTTAGAGACCAGCCTGGACAACATGTTGAAACCCCATCTCTACAAAAAAATACAAATTAGGCACAGTGGTGGATGCATAATTCCAGTTACTCAGGAGGCTGAAGTAAGAAGATGGCTTTAGTGTGGGACGTGAAGATTGCAGAAAGCTGACATCACAACACTGCACTTCAGTCTTGGCAACAGAGTGAGACTCTATCTGAAAAAAATTGTATACTTTATTGAATCATTTATATATGATTGTTATTTTTGATTACATATTGTTTAGTTCACTACTTTAAAGCCTGCTTTATTATTTCTTAATTTTATTGACTCATTTGTGCCTTAGTCTGTTTCATTACAAATTATTGTTTAGTCACTACCTTGGAGCCTGTTTTCTTTTTTAAAAAATTTTATTACACTTTAAGTTATGGGGTACGTGTGCAAATGTTGCAGGATTGTTGCATAGGTACACACATGCCATGGTGGTTTGATGCCTCCATGTCCCCATTACCTACACAGGAATTTCTCTTAATGTTATACCTTCCCAACCTCTCCACCCCCAACTATCCCTTCCTTAGTCCCACACCCCCCAACAGACCCCAGTGTGTGATGTTCCCCTCTCTTGTGTTCATGTGTTCTCATTCTTCAACACCTACTTAGGACAGAACATGTGGTGGTTGGTTTTCTTTCCTTGTGTCAATTTGCCGAGAATGATGGTTTCCAGATTCATCCATGTCCCTGCAAAGGACATGAACTCACCCTTTCTTAAGACTGCATACTATCCCATAGTGTATATGTGCCACATATTCTTTATTCAGTCTATTATTATTAATCGGCATTTGGGTTGGTTCCAAGTCTTTGCTATTGTAAACAGTGCTGCAACAAACATATGTGTACATGTGTCTTTGCACTAGTCCTCTCGTGTAACTCTCCAGGTCCGGCTCCTGCCTGTGGTAGACACCTTTCCAGGCCAAGCATTGGCTTTTTGGCTTCCTATTTCAGCTCAGAACATTTTCAAGTCAGCCTCTCTGGTCTCAGCTCTTCCTCCTGGCTGCATCTACAGGCCCAACTCCTGCCTCACAACAACATTTGGCCCAGCTCCTGCTCAGCTTCTAGCAGTCTGTGTAGGCTCCAGCCTTCCTCAAGTTGGGCTTTCCAGGCCCACCTTTGGCCTCCCAGTGGCCTGGACAGACCCACCTCCTGCCTACCAACAGGTAGGCCCAGCTCTTACCCTTGATATTGGCCTCCCCAGGCCATTTCTGCCTGCCTGCGTGCCTGCCTCATGGCAGCTCCTGGCTCTCTGATGGCCTCTTTAGGCACATGTCCTGCCTCACCATGGCCTCCCCAGGCTGATGGAGGCTCCTGTTTTTCGGCATCCTCTGCAGGCCCAGCTTGTTCCTCGCTAGACCATTCAGGCCTGCACGCCCGCTACTCGGAAGCTTTTGGTGGCCTCTCCAAGCCCAGCTCATAAGCTCATTCCTTTGTGGCCTCTCCAGGCCCAGGTACTGCTTTCTGGAAATCCATTCTGGGCAAGCTTTTCCTCATGGCTTCATCTACAGGCCCCCCACCTGCCCTGCAACAACCTCTGTGAACTTGGCTCCTTGTGGCATTTGTAGACCTGAAAGGTCCTGAAATCAAGCTCTCCAGGCCCACACAGCTCATGCCTCATAATGGCATCTCCAAGATCAGCTCCTGCCCTCTGAATGCATCTCGAGGACCCAAATATGCTCAAGTCAGCTTCTATTCGCCTGGCTCCAGCTTCCTCCTGGTGGCCTCAGAGGTTTACATGTTCCTAAAGTTGGCCAATTTTGGCCCAGGTCCTGCCATCCTGGTGGCCTCTCTGGTTGCAAAACCTCCTCACTTTGGCCCCTCCAGGGTGAGCTTCTGTCTCTCAATGACCTCATTGGGCCCAGCTCCTGCCTCCCAACATCCTTTGTGGACTCAGCTCCTGCCCAGCTTCTGATGTCCTCCATAGGCCTGAAAGGCTCATGGTTGCCTCCCCAGGCTCAGCTCCTGCTCTCTGTCAGCATCTACAGGCCCCAAACTTCCACAAGTTGGCTTCTCTTGGCTTGGCTCCAGCCTTTCTCCAGTGGCCTGGGCAGGCCCAAATGGTCCTGAAGTCGGCCTCTCCAGGCCCAGCTCCTGCCTGACAGTGGCCTCTCCAGGCCCAAAGCCTCCTCTTGTGGGTTTGTCCAGGCCTGGCTCCTGCCTGTGGTAGGCCCTTCCAGGACCAGCCTCTGCTTCCTAGTGGATACAGGCATGCAATGTGTAATAATCACATCAGGGTAAATCGGATACTCCTCATCTTAAGCATTTATTTTACTTCTTTATTTAACAAGCAATTCAGTTATGTTCTTTTCCTTTTTTCTTTTTCTTTCTTTCTTTCTTTTTTTTTTTTTTTTTTTTTTTTTTTTGCACTGGAGTGTAGCTCTTTCTCCCTGGCTGGAGTGCAGTGTTCCAATCTCATCGCACTGCAATGTCTGTCCCCAGGGTTGAAATTATTCTCCTGCCTCAGCCTCCTGAGTAGCTGAGACTAATTTTTGTATTTTAAGTAGAGACAGGGTTTTGCTATGTTAGGCTGGTTTCAAACTCCTGGCAGGTGATCCTCCTGCCTTGGCCTTCCAAAGTTCTGGGATTGCAAGCATAAGCCACCACACCTGGTCCCTTTTAGCTATTTTTAAATAAGTAAATTATTGTTTACCATTGTCACTCTTTTGTACTACCAAGTACTACATCTTATTCATTCTAACTGTATTTTTGTATTTATTAATTATTTCTGTGAACCCCCTCCAGCCCACTATTCTTTCCAGCCTCTGGTAACCTTCATCCTACTCTCTATCTTTATGAGTTCAATTGTTTTAATTTTTAGCACCCACAAATGACTGCGAACATGCAAAATTTGTCTCTCTGACTTATTTTAGTTAATAAAATAATCTCCAGTTCTACTCATGGTGTTGCAAGTAACAGGATTCTATTATTATCATGGCTGAATAATATTCCATTGTGTATATGTACCACATTTTCCTTATCCATTCACCTGTTTTTTTTTGTTTGTTTGTTTGAGACCGAGTTTTGCTCTTGTTACCCAGGCTGGAGTGCAATGGCGCGATCTCGGCTCACCGCAACCTCTGCCTCCTGGGTTCAGGCAATTCTTTTGCCTCAGCCTCCTGAGTAGCTGGTATTACAGGCACGTCCCACCATGCCCAGCTAATTTTTTGTATTTTTAGTAGAGACGGCGTTTCACCATGTTGACCAGGGTGGTCTCAATATTTTGACCTTGTGATCCACCCACCTCGGCTTCCCAAAGTGCTGGGATTACAGGCATGAGCCACTGCGCCTGGCCCCATTCACCTGTTAATGGACACTTAGATTGCCTCCAAATCTTGACTATTGTGAATAATGTTGCAGCAAATGTAAAAATGTAGATATTTCTTTCATATACTGATTTATTTTCTTTTGGGTATATACCCAGCAGTAGAATTACTGTGTCATAAAGTAGCTCTTTTTAGTTTTTTGAGGACTGTCCAAACCAACCATTCTCCATAGTGGTTGCACTAATTTACTATCTCACCAAAAGTGTACCAGGGTTCCCTTTTCTCCACATCCTCATTAGCATTCGTTACTGCCTGTCATTTGGATATAAGCCATTTTAACTGGGATTGCATGATAGTTCATTGTAGTTTCTATCAGTGATGTTGAGCATCTTTTTATAAAGATGCCATTTGTATGTTTTCTGTTGAGAAATGTCTATTTTGATCGTTTGGCCATTTTAAATCAGATTATTTGCTTTTTGTTCTATTTTTGTTTTTACCTAAGCTCCTTATATACTCTAATTATTAATCCCTTGTCAGATGGATTCAGAATTGTGTTTTGTCTTTATTTTACACTCAATTCTAAACCATTGAATGGTATCAAGTGGAGAATTGACATATTAGTATTGGAAGATGACTTTGTGTATTTGCTACCTATTGCTGTGTAACATACTGGTCAGGTGCGGTGGCTCACACCTGTAATCCCAGCACTTTGGGAGGCCAAGGCAGGCAGATCACGAGGTCAGGATTTCAAGACAAGCCTGGTCAAAATAATGAACCCTTTCTTTACTAAAAATACAAAAATTAACCAGGTGGTAGCTCACACTTATAATCCTAGCTACTCAGGAGGCTGAGGCAGGAGAATCACTTTAACCTAGGAAGTGTACGTTGCAGTGAGCTGAGATTGTGTCACTGCACTCCAGCCTGGGAGACAGAGTGAGACTCCATCTGAGAAAACAAACAAACAAACAAAAAATACCACCCCAAATTATACAGTTACAATGATACTCATTAGTCTTCTCATAATTCTGGAGGCTGACTAGACTCACCTAGGCAGTTCTGGCTCAGGATGTGGTTGCCTTTAAACAGTATGGAGTTAGAATACTGTCAAAGGTTTTCTTGCTCAAGTAACTCCTGGTTAATGTGGGCTGTCAGCCAGGGAATCAGCTGGGGCTATCTGGTGGAATACCCACACGTAACCTCCCTACATGATCTGGGCTGTCTGACAAAATGATGAATGGGTTTTAAGCACACCCACCCCAGGAGGGAGAGCCAAGTGGAAACAGTATCATCTTTTATGACCTAACTTTGTCAGGTCATGAGCAACAATTCACTTTATTCTGCTTACAGAAGCAGGGGACTATGGTCATTTTCAAGGGAAGAGAAACTAAATTCTATCTTTTGATAACAAGTGTAAAAAAAATTGAGGACAACTATTCACAATAGTGGAGAGATGGAATCAACCTAAGTTTTCTTCCCTTGATGGAAAAAAGAATAAAGAAAATGTGGCAGCCAGGCACAATGGCTTACACCTGTAATACCAGCACCTTTGGAGGCCAAGGTGGGCAGATCATCTGAGGTCAGGAGTTTGACACCAGCCTGGCAAACATGGCAAAACCCCTTCTCTACTGAAAATACAAAAAGCCAGGTGTGGTGGTGCATACCTGTAATCCCAGCTGCTTTGGGAAGCTGAGGCAGGAGAATCACTTGAGCTTGGGAGGCAAAGATTGCAGTGAGCTGATATTGCACCACTGCATTCCAGCCAGGGTGAGAGAGTGAGACTCCATCTCAAAAAAAAAAGTGCAACATGCAGAAAATGCTTTATGTAATCAAAATAAATCAGAGGATAAAAGAAGTATATTAACGCAACTGAAAAATGCTGTGGAGATTAGAGATAGTAGTCTAACACTGGGTTGTCAATTGACCCTGAGTTAAAGAACCTTAAAAAAAAAAAAACGGCTGGGCACGGTGGCTCATGCCCATAATTCCAGTGCTTTAGGAGGCTGAGGTGGGAGAAAAGCTTGAGGCCAGGAGTTTGAGAAAAAGCCTGGGCAACACACCAAAACCCTATCTTTACAAAAGTAACAAAACTTAGCCAGGTGTGGTGGTGCACACCTGTAGTCCCAGCTACTCGGGAGGCTGAAGCGGGAAGATTTTTTGAGCCCACGAGTTTGAAGCTGCAGTGAACTATGATGACACCACTGTGTTCTAGAACCTCGGACAGAGCAAAGTTCTATAGAAAAAAAGAAAAAGAGAGAGAGAGGAAGAAAGCAAGGAAGGAAGGAAGAAAGAAAAAGAAGAAAAAAGGAAAGAAAAGAAAGAAGGGAGGGAGAAAGAGAGGAAGGGAGGGAGGGACAGAAGGAGGGAGGGAGAGTGAAAAAGAAAAAAGGAAGAAATGAAGAGATAAGTAGGCAGTCAAAGGCACCCTGTATACCTGGAAAAACTAATACAGAATTACTGGCCTAGAGCCAACCCTGGCTAAGCTACTGAACTTCAATGATAAAGAAAGTACTCTACTAGCCTTTCAGCAGGAGAACATGAGGCACATGTTAGAAGAACCTCCAGCCAGCCTCAGGTCTTCCCATTGCCCCAGCCAGAACCAGATAATAATAGAGTCAGAACTTGGAGGAAGAACTGAAGAAAGTGAAAATGAATTAAGGATATTCTTCCAAGAAAGATGTCATCCAAGTATGCATGCATTATACAGAAACTCTCAAACCTAAAAATACAACAGCTGTGGGTGAAAATAGAAACTGCAGATTAAATAGATTCGTGACACTTTTTTCTTTTATCATAATTTTAATGAATGTTGAATGAAGATACCACTTACACATAGGCATTTATACGAAGTTCAGAAATTCTCCCACCTTACCTTAGTTTCTTGACACAGTCTCACTCTGTTGTCCAGGCTGAAGTGGAATGGTGAAATCTCGGCTCACTGTAATTTTCACCTCCCAGGCTCAAGCAATTCTCATGCCTCAGCCTCTCAAGTAGTTGGGATTACAGGTACCCACCATGACTCCCAGCTAATTTTTGAATTTTTTGTAGAGACAAGTTGGCCAGGCTGATCTCAAGCTCATGACTTCAAGTGATCCCACCCACGTTGGCCTTCCAAAGTGCTGGGCTTGCAAGTGTGAGATAAGGTGCCTGGCCATATCACCTAATGTTGAGTAATTTATTGGTAGTTGAAAATTTTATGATTTGTTTCTTGCTTCTCTGGCTCTGTTTTCTCTATCCTTTTTCTTTCTCTGGCAGGGTCTCATTCTGTTGCCCAGGCTGCTGCCTCAACCTTCTGGGTTCTGGCAAGCCACCTGCTCAGCCTCTAAAGTAGCTGGGACTACAGGTGTGCATTACAATAATTTTTTTTTTTTTTTACTTTCTATAGAGACGGAATCTTGCTATGTCACTCATGCTGGTCTCAAACTCCTGACCTTGATCAATCCTCCTACCCTGCCTTTGCAAAGTGCTGGGATTACAGGTGTGAGCTATGGCACCTGGCCTTCTTCGTACTTTTCTATAGGATTTAGATTTTATGTAATAACAAACAATTTTTACAAAAGTAGTA